ACCCTTCACCACCTTCCCTGCCCTTCACCACCTTCACTACCCTTCACCACCTTCCCTGCCCTTCACCACCTTCACTACCCTTCACCACCTTCCCTGCCCTTCACCACCTTCCCTAACCTTCACCACCTTCCCTACCCTTCATCACCTTCCCTACCCTTCACCACCTTCCCTGCCCTTCACCACCTTCCCTAACCTTCATCACCTTCCCTACCCTTCACCACCTTCCCTACCCTTCACCACCTTCCCTGCCCTTCACCACCTTCCCTAACCTTCACCACCTTCCCTACCCTTCACAACCTTCACTACCCTTCACCACCTTCCCTACCCTTCACCACCTTCCCTACCCTTCACCACCTTCCCTACCCTTCACCACCTTCCCTACCCTTCACCACCTTCCCTGCCCTTCACCACCTTCCCTAACCTTCACCACCTTCCCTACCCTTCACAACCTTCACTACCCTTCACCACCTTCCCTGCCCTTCACCACCTTCCCTACCCTTCACCACCTTCACTACCCTTCACCACCTTCCCTGCCCTTCACCACTAATGTATAACACAAGAGGATACAAAGGCCTATGAAAATGACATTGCATATAAACAAAACGAAGTTATTACATAGGCAGATAAGTAGGAACATGAAAGTGAATGATCAAGTGAGTGGACTCGCTTGAAGCCATTATGACTATATAGCACTTGGAAGGGGTCAGGATAAGGACTTAGGATGGGACAGGGGGGAGGGGGAGAATGGAATGGTGCCCAACCACTTGGACGGTCGGGGATTGGACGCCGACCTGCATGAAGCGAGACCGTCTCTCTACCTTCCAACCCAAGTGGTTGGGAGGAGAACATTCAGGAATTAACAAAGTTTGGGACCTAAATGCCAGTGTTCCTGGATTGTTTCCAGAGTTAGCTGGAAAAGTTCCCAGAGCTTTTCCTCTTCAAAAAAGAGTTAGAAATGTTCAACCACAGACTAGCAAATATTGAGGTATCAGTAGAGGAAGTAAGGAAACAACGAGCATCACTAGATCACACTAAACCTATTGGGCCAGACAAGGTACCAACAGGGATATATAAGAAGCAGCTCAGACCCTTAGTACATCTTTACCCCTCATCTTTATAATAATAATTTACAATAACAATAAGAATAATAATCTATTCACAAATTCACAAAAAGTTACAATGAGATGAGATTACATAAAAATGGTATTTTTATAGTCTAGCAAAGCCACTAACACGTCCCATTTAGAGCTTTAATACATTCACTTGTGGAGAGTTGCCCAGTAGACAGAAGAAGGCAAATGTGGTACAAATATAAAAGAAAGGGGACAGGACAGGCCTTCCTTACACAATGTTGACAAAATAACAATAATAAAGCTATTTACCTATCAAAAGTGAATTATATATATGTAAACAAACACCAGCTCTAGGGAAGGGAAATCATGCCTCTCGAACCTACTGTACAATACACCATGTGTCAACTTTGTGAAAGTGTACAATACACCATGTGTCAACTTTGTGAAAGCGTCCAATACACCATGTGTCAACTGTGTGAAAGTGTAGAATATACCATGTGTCAACTTTGTGAAAGTGTCCAATACACAATGTGTCAACTTTGTGAAAGATAAAACATGCACTCTGGTGAACATTATATTGTATAATGTCCCATATTGACTGACTTTCGCCCTCCTGGGCTGAGGTATGCTGAACTCTGTTTACTATATGAATACTGGAACACTTGATGATATATTGGACTTATACCCAAGACTATGCCTATGTTAACTGATTGACATCAGTTATACAATGTATGTTACGTAACTCTAACCTGAGCTTATGAAAGCATCTTAATCACCTTCAGTGGTTAAGTGCTTAATAACACACTATTTTCAACAGCAGCTATCTTACCCTGTCTAAGTAGGAGGGACATAAATGTGTATTCACCTAGTTGTGCTTGCGAGGGTTGAGCTCTGCCTTTTCGGCCCGCCTCTCAACTGTCAATCAACTGTTTCTACTACTACTATACATTTTTTTTCCACACACCACACACACACACCAGGAAGCAGCCCGTGACAGCTGACTAACTCCCAGGTATCTATTTACTGCTAGGTAACAGGTGCATTAGGGTGAAAGAAACTCTGCTTATCGTTTCTCGCTGGCTCCCGGGATCGAACCCGGGACCACAGGATCACATGTCTAGCGTGCTGTCCGCTCAGCCACCGGCTGTGTGTGTGTGTGTGTGTGTGTGTGTGTGTGTGTGTGTGTGTGTGTGTGTGTGTGTGTGTGTGTGTGTGTGAGTGTGAGTGTGAGTGTGTGTGTGTGTGTGTGGGTGTGGGTGTGGGTGTGGGTGTGGGTGTGTGTGTGTGTGTGTGTGTGTGTGTGTGTGTGTGTGTGTGTGTGTGTGTGTGTGTGTGTGTGTGTGTGTGTGTGTGTGTGTGTGTGTGTGTGTGTGTGTGTGTGTGTCTGTCTGTCTGAGATAGAAACATATTTAATAGATATGACAGAGGAAAATAGGTCGGGAATAAGTACAATAGCCAACCGACTGTTGGAAAGGCGGGGTCCAAGAGCTTCAACATTTTCTCGCATTGACCCTCTGAAGTACACGACTGATTGATGAAGATTAAGCCACTTAAGAGTTGGCACGGGCATGAATAGCCCATAGGTGGTAGTTTTTTTGTTTAGTAATGTATACAGTGTGCGGAGATCGCATTTAATCGTCAGGCTGTTACGCGGGGAGGATACTGCGTGACAGTCTTTATGAGGGTCTCCAGCTGCTGGACACCTTTTTTAACCAGAAGAGTGGCAGTGTTGATGGCTTCAGGGTGGCCACTGCAAGATTCAGGAACTCTTAAAGCTCCTCTAAGGTTGCTGGTTGCTTGACATTCCAGGAGATAGTGAAGTAGTGGCTTTTCTGTGACAGTTTGGCAGAAGATGCATTCTCTCTGTCGGGGTTCACCAATCTCCCAGTTGCATCTGTAACCTAGACGTAGTCTATATAGCCTAACTGCTATTTTCCTGTGGATTCCTTTTGGGATATTTAACCTTTCTAATTTGGTTGCCTGAAGATACCATATTGCAGATGGCGAACCTTCAGCTACTCTCTGGTGTAGATGGGCTTTGTTGATGTGTGAGAGGTTTTTGGGGGTAGTGTTTTTTATGTACTCTAGGCTGGGTTGGATTGTTTTGTGGATCATTGGATGACGAGTTGCCAATTTAGCAATTTCATCGGCTTTCTCATTTAATGGGATTCCAATATGGGATGGGATCCAGTTTAAAGTTATGTTGAGGCCTTTGCCTTTAGCGACTGCTCCAAGATACAAAATGGTGGTAATTATTTCCACATTATCTTTCCACGGTTTTTGTCCTAGTATTTGAAGTGCAGCTTTTGAGTCTGTGTGTATGATTGCATTTTGAGTGTTTTGTGCAATCACATATGCGAATGCCTGTTGTATGGCAAACAGCTCAGTTTGGGTTGATGATACTAGTCCTCCCAGTCTCCAATATGCCTGTACGCCTGCCGTGCAAGGAGCAGCGCCAGCACTCTCATATTCTGTGTCAACCGATCCGTCTGTGAAGATGTGGGTGGCTCCTGCTGCTGCTATGCTATACATTTGCTTTTCTATAATGCGCCTTAGGAGTGTTGGATCATAGGCAGCCTTTTTCATTGGAAGACTTTCAGTTACTATTTTGAACGTAGGCTCCTCCCATGGTGGGGCACTAGTTTGGGTGTGGTTGATCACTTCCTCTATCAAGAATCAAGCTTTTTAATTGTAGTCTGTTTAGGACATTTCCCGCTCTGGCAGCCCAAGAGTTTCCGTACTTTTGGCCAAGTCCAATCACCAAGGGCTGCCGTACTGGGACTGGAACCGTAGAACCGTAGCTGTTCTTTGAGATATTCTTTATTGAAGAGAGGGCAAACCCGTTTCCAGTCTTAGAGTTTCAAGCCTGGTCCACATTGGGGCTCCCAGTGCGGCTCTCACAGCATTGTTTTGTGCTACTTCAAGGTTTTTCCACAGTTGTTATAATGGACTAATGACCAACCACCCAAACAGCCTGGTTGACCAGACGACCAATCGGGAGACCTGGTTGATCAGACGACCAATCGGGAGGCCTGGTTGATCAGGCGACCAATCGGGAGGCCTGGTCGGAGACCGGGCCGCGGGGCTGTTGATCCCCGGAAGCTACACAAGATAGACACAAGGTAGGTAGGCTTGTGAGTGCACGTGCAGCATAGTCGATCACTGATCTGACTGCCTGTACATAGTATGTGGGAAGGACTTGCAGATTGGCTCCTCCAGAGAGGGAGGTTAGCGACCTGAGGATTGCTGTCCGGGCCGCAGTTCTCTCTCTCAAGTGACCTCAGCATTAAAAATTGTGTCCAGGATTATTCCTAGATACTGATAAGTGTTCACCCATTCAATTGGTTGAACCTGTACTGTGAGTTGGTTGCTGGGGTTCGCTATTTTTATGGGCATGGCTTTTGTCTTGGTTGGGTTGAATTTGATACCAATCTGCTTTGTCTCTTTACTGAAGCAGTCTACGCATTTGGGTGCAAGGCGCGCCGCATCCCTTCCTTTTATGATGATGGCAAAGTCGCCCGCATAGTTTAGTAGCTTGCAGTGTTGTGGGAGTTTCAGCCTCATTATTCTTTCCATTAAACAGTTGAAGAGAAGGGGGCTGAGAATGCCTCCTGCTGCATCTCCCATGGAGTCGTCGTCCGGGTATGATGGTGTCTCCAGGCTTGGCCAGTAATGACCGCACTGAGGAGCTGCTCTCTTGCTTGGCTCATTGGGTACGACGGGGTACAAGACTCTGGAAAGTGGCAGGGGAAAACTAGCAAGGATAGGGCGGTCAGCTAGGTATAGTAGCGACTGTGGCTAGGGGAGAGGCTATGGCAGGGGAAGGAGCCATAGCAGTTAGGATAGTGGAGAGTAGCTAGGGGATAGGCTAGGACACCGAGGGCTGGGTGTGCGACCACCAGCAACAACACATAAGAGGCATCTCACCTGATGAACTCCGGGTAGAGCCTGAAGGAGAGGAGTGGTTCAGGCAGCTGACGGAGGTACAGCTTGAGAACGTTGGCGATGACGTTGGGGTGCTGGTCAGTGAGGTCGACAAGGTTGGCGCCGTTCTCGAAGGCCTGACACAGCTTCTCCACCCGACTCTTGACGCCAGACACCCGGTAGATACCCTGCGGGCCAACACACCAGTTACTTCATATACAGTTCACCAGATGGGGTACAAGGAGAAAGGCAGGTTTCCCTCCCTCTTGCTCCAACCCCCCTCCCTCTCCCCCCCCCCTCTATTACACCGTTCTCCCAATTTTACAATATTTTAACCCTCCTCCAATATTTTAACTCCATCCCTTCCCTCCCTTCTCCGTTCCCAATTTTACCCTTTCTCTTCCCACCTCTTCTCCACTCTGCCCCTTTTTCACATTCCCCTTCCCCTTCACAACATACAACCCCAGCAAACACGAAAGATTATAACCACAATGACATTTGTAACATTACATGAGAGTAACACTGATTACTTTGATGCAACGTTGTTGCAACATACATAAACGTTGTAGTCATTTTATAAGCTGAATAATTATGAAAGCCTTAAAATCTCTAACAATTCTTTGGAAAACAAGACTCCTTCTTAAAGAGGAACACTGGGATTGATCTTGCCAAACAACAATGACAAATCACCATGGAAAGTTGCGTGAGTCTATCGGCAAGCATCTGACTTACAACCCCTGAGATACAGACACTCTTTTATATGTAGATAGATGGAAACTGGTGGCCCCAGCCTGTGGTCGGTGGGGGGAATTACACTGCCATTATGGTGCAGGCACTGGTCCCCCAGTGTTCTCTGGGCTCACTCATGTACATTAGTGGTGACCTGGCTACACTACCAGGTCATCACGAGGGTGGTCACGACCAGGTCATTACAGGTCAAAAAGAGAGGGGGTACCAGACCAGGTCAAGAGACGGGATGGGGTACCAGACCAGGTCAAGAGACGGGATGGGGTACCAGACCAGGTCAAGAGACGGGATGGGGTACCAGACCAGGTCAAGAGACGGGAGGGGGTACCAGACCAGGTCAAGAGACGGGAGGAGGTACCAGACCAGGTCAAGAAGAGAGGGGTCCACTGGGAAGCCAAGAGACTGAACAAGACTCCAGGAGACACAAAGGAAATTTAATTTGACAGAAAAGGTTTACTTATAATGGATATATTGAGACAGAAGGGATTTATAAACACAGTCAATGACTGTACGGGGGTGAAGAAGACTTTGATGGTTTATTTCGGATAGTGATACAGGCGTTTTTCACAAACATTAGGCGGTATAACCTGTGAAAAACATATTGTAAAAGAAATAAAAAGATGTTGTGACTCAAATGTATATGGATAAGTCACATTATATCTCGAGGAAGGAAATATAAAGATTGTGAGAAGCCATCAAGGTGTGAGGAGTGTAACATGTTTCAAAGTTTAATGAAAACTAAGCTTATGACTAGGTAGAGATGTGTTGATGTTCCCGGAATATTACTGCCCTCAGGCTGCTCAAAGGCAGTCCAAGTTGGTAATCAATTCCCTCTTTACGAGCAAAAGTCTTGGCCAACTCATCAGTTCTATCATACATTCGGAGACCAATATGGGAAGGAATCTAAAGAAGACAAACTCTGACTCCATTATTGATTATTTCATTATATCTGTGTCTAGCTTCAGAGATAAGCACGTCACAGTTATGCCTTGGGGAGCTGAGGGCAGTCAAGGATGACAAGGAGTCACTTACAATTAGTGTGTCATCTTTGGATTCATATACGCGTACACTTGAGGCAAAGTGAAATTCACACCAGTTGCTCCATCTATCATCATTCTATTATGCAGGAAGTGCCTCACGTCTATGGGTCATCCAATAAGGTTAGCAGACTTCTAGATGTTACCACTGCTAGGCTTAGGCTCGGCTACAAGTACCTCTGGGAGTTTGTAACATCTGCTGATGTAGATTTGACTAAATGTAAATTCTGTCAGCAGAACTATTCGCATATTTTGCGTCATTATATAATGGAATGTGAAAAAATCGCGGACTTCAGAGATAACACCATCAATGGTGTCCAAGAAATGTGTAAGTACTTCATTCATAATGATGTGCTGCCAGGAATCAGCCAAATATCCAAAATTTGCTTACTGTAGGTAATGCATTCACATGACTGTAAAGCTGCCGCCCAGTTGGGTGGGTGTGGAGCACATGACTGTAAAGCTGCCGCCCAGTTAGGTGGGTGTGGAGCACATGACTGTAAAGCTGCCGCCCAGTTGGGTAGGTGTGGAGCACATGACTGAAGCTGCCGCCCAGTTGGGAGGGTGTGGAGCACATGACTGTAAAGCTGCCGCCCAGTTGGGTGGGTGTGGAGAACATGACTGTAAAGCTGCCGCCCAGTTGGGTGGGTGTGCAGCACATGACTGTAAAGCTGCCGCCCAGTTGGGTGGGTGTGGAGCACATGACTGTAAAGCTGCCGCCCAGTTGGGCGGGTGTGGAGCACATGACAGTAAAGCTGCCGCCCAGTTGGGTGTGTGGGGAGCAGGACTTGTAACTAAGTGACTTACTATAGATGTAAAGTACCTTGTATAGTGACAGTTGTGAGCCTCTTGCTAAATCACTTGTCATATAAAAATATTATTAATATGTATATGTTTGCGTATGTAACATTAACAATTGTGTAACTAGCTTCACAAGATTGTCACTTGTTTAGCTAAACGAACTATGGGGTACAGTTCCTGAACCCTTATGTGGCTCTGTAACCTTTTCCACCACCGCCCACGGGATGAGTCTGGGGTCCATCACCACCCACGGGATGGGTATGGTGCCCACCACTACCCACGGGATGGGTATGGGGCCCATCACTACCCACAGGATGGGTATGGGGTCCACCACCCTCCACGGGATGGGTATGGGGCCCACCACTACCCACGGGATGGGTATGTGGTCCATCATCACCCACGGGATGGGTATGGGGCCCACCACTACCCACGGGATGGGTATGGGGCCCACCACTACCCACGGGATAGGTATGTGGTCCATCTCCACCCACGGGATGGGAATGGGGCCCACCACTACCCACGGGATGGGTATGGGGCCCATCACTACCCACGGGATGGGTATGGGGTCCACCACCACCCACGGGATGGGTATGGGGCCCACGGGATGGGTATGTGGTCCATCTCCACTCACGGGATGGGTATGTGGTCCACCACCGCCCACGGGATGGGTATGGGGCCCACCACTACCCACGGGATGGGTATGGGGCCCATCACTACCCACGGGATGGGTATGGGGTCCACCACCACCCACGGGATGGGTATGGGGCCCACCACTACCCACGGGATGGGTATGTGGTCCATCATCACCCACGGGATGGGTATGGGGTCCACCACCACCCACGGCATGGGTATGGGGCCCACCACTACCCACGGGATGGGTATGGGGCCCATCACTACCCACGGGATGGGTATGGGGTCCACCACCACCCACGGGATGGGTATGGGGCCCACCACTACCCACGGGATGGGTATGTGGTCCATCATCACCCACGGGATGGGTATGGGGTCCACCACCACCCACGGCATGGGTATGGGGCCCACCACTACCCACGGGATGGGTATGTGGTCCATCTCCACCCACGGGATGGGTATGGGGTCCACCACCGCCCACGGGATGGGTATGGGGGTCCACCACCGCCCACGGCATAGGTAGGGGGTCCACCACCGCCATCGGGATGGGTATGGGATCCGCCACCATCACCCACGGGATAGGTATGGGGCCCACCACTACCCACGGGATGGGTATGGGGTCCACCACCGCCCACGGGATGAGTATGGGGTCCATCATCACCCCCGGGATGGGTATGGGGTCCATCACCACCCACGGGATGGGTATGTGGTCCATCACCACCCACGGGATGGGTATGAGGTCCGCCACTGCCCACGGGATGGGTATGGGGTCCACCACCGCCCACGGGATGGGTATGGGTTCCACCACCGCCCTTGGGATGGGTATGGGGTCCACCACCGCCCACGGGATGGGTATGGGTTCCACCACCGCCCTCGGGATGGGTTAGGGGTTCATAATAAAGATAGAAATTGAAATTGACAGGGTAGACTCAACGTAATGTAGTTTTAATCTAGTTCACTAAGGTTGTTGAGTCTGGTGCACCTTAACCATGACCTGTTTAACTTTGTAATTTCTAGCTTCAGTGAAAAGTAGAAATGCTTATTATAACCTTCCAGTGTTTGAAAATAATATTTGTAAACAGCTTGTGTTGTCATGTTCACCCTCGTAAAGTGGTGGTTCTTTTACCGTAGACTTTATATATCCGTAGACTAACTAAAACACTATAGCTCTGCACTTAATTAATTTCCTCTCCTCTGTGTTGGACAAACTTAAAGTAGTACAGAATGAGGCCATGAGGATAATTCTTGGTGCCCCAAGATGCACAAGAATCATCAACATGCGGGAAGAACTGAAGCTTCCAACCATACTAGAGAGAATAATGCAAGTCAACACTACCTTTTGCCTTAAAGTCATAAGAGATCCTACATCTCTTGCATTGCTCAGAGACAAATTATTTAGTGCTGTTAACACCCTTTTGACTGGTGCCGATACACCAACTCACTCCTTTTATTATAATTGGCTGAGCAACAATGCTTACAATCTCATTAAACTTAACATTCCTTTTAAGTGCAATCTACCAGTCTCTGATATTCCTCTTTATCTGTACCCCACCATTCAAGTATCATACACACCTGTCACCAAGAAAGATAATGAGAATCTTGCTCTTCTCAAAGCTGTCACTCTTGAAACAATTGCCTCCTCCATCGAGAGTTTAAGATCTCACGAGCACTGTGTCTACACCGGCGGCTCAGTCCAATCCTCTACTGGACGGACTGCAGCGGCATGTAGGTTTTATAGAAATAATATTTGCACAAAGACTGTCAGTGTCAGGTTAAACAACTGGCTGACCTCCACACAAGCAGAACTAGCGGCATTACACCTAGCTACCAGTACATTAAAAAACATTGGAGGAGGAATAATATTTTGTGATTCAAAGTCTGCTCTTCAAGCAATCGAAAACTTCTCTTGGAAGATCGACAGCAAGAACCTCATACTCCCAATTATAAATGACCTAATTGATGCACAGAGTAAA